GTAGCAAATTTGATAGCAAATAGACGATAAATTACTTGTGACCATCCAGTTTAAAAAGTGACTAAATTATAAGCTTCAAACCACACACACACACTACTACCCGGGGAAAACAGAACTGCAGGCCCAGCCAAGTGAGTCAGTTCCCAATGACAAGAGTCAGAGTAGTACCCAGAACAGATGCAAAGGAAGAGACTCCATCTAAACCTGAAAAGACCCTCTGACAATCCTGAAAAATAAGTTTTGAGCACAGAGAACTGATAAAGAAGAAGGAATGACTGAAGAAGCACACAGAACACACCACCAAACAAAGACAGAAAAAGATACCAAAGACTCTGGATAGGAAGGAACACAAACTTTGTACATTTGGGACTCAAAATGCCAGCAAATTTGGACATTCCCCCCCCCTCAGTAAGCTGAAATCTAGCCACACAGGGTTCCCATTAGAAGCTGTCCTGGCTACTTCCTTTAGCTGTGAATCCAAAAAGGTGTTAGAGTAAGAATGACAAATATTTTCATAATGGAACCATCCTGGGACAAGTGCAAAGCAGATCTCCAAGTGAGCCTAGCTCACTACAAAATAGACAGACATGAGAGTTTACACATATTTTATGAACAGGGCTATTTTAGTCAACATGCAAATCCAGCACGCAGCCCATATGCACACAGGGTTAGTGAGGACCCACACTGCAGACAACAAAAGCAAAGACAGTGCCTTGCCAAAGAAGATCCCTGTTCTCCCTCACAATGGGTTTCAATATTTCTGAACCTTGCAGTTCTGCACGCACATTGTCCTCGTCCTTCATAAAAATCTCAGTCTGGGGGAAGAGATACTATGCCTTAGAGACTCCATAACCCTCAGCACTCTCAATTTTCCCACTCCAGAAGTGCGATTTATTTCTGCTTACCATTCTAAATTACTTCAAATTCCTTTCACAACCTCTGGCTACTAAAAACCAGCCCCGGTCTGGTCCCAGTCTGTCAGGTGTCATGCAAGATTACTCTAATCTGTAGTCTCTTTGACAGAAACCTTACAGTCCAATGAAACATTTTACTTTGAGGGGGAAAAAAAAAAAAAAGCTCTGTTTTGTGCCTTTAGTGCCTGTAAGAAGAGTGCTATGCTGATGCCAAGTATGGGAAACTGGAAGATTTATCTACCAGAAAGACAGCAGCACTGCTGGATGCTTGCTCCAGGGAACACTAGGAGGTTTCTGTGTACAAGACCCCTGCCACGCTGCTTGTTCCCATTGCTGTTTTGCTGTTTGCTGGCGGGCACCTGAGTGTTAACTCAGTTCTTGGTGGTTTTACACATCTGCAAAAGGACATGCCAGTGTTCAGGACTGGGGCAAGACAATACAGATATCTGCACCTGAAATTCCTTCAATCACATCAAAGTTTCAGAAGAAGAAGGATTTTTGAACCATTTAAAATATCCAGTAAAACCCATAAGAGACCCTGGCAGGAAGAGGCTTTTAGGGAAACCAGTGACCTTATTCCCAGCAGTTAAAACACGTCTGTTAGACCCATGCAAACTGCTAGTTAGGAATAACATGCAAGCTGCCATTTCAATGCCTCAAACCTGCTTCTATTTTACTGTGAAAAACTAACTTACCCATTTTGTGTACTTGCCATGGCTACATGAGAGAAGTCACATAAAACTTCCAAAACTAAATGTGGGTGCTGGAGCTCAGGGATCCTGTCTACAAAGCATGATGGCATGCAGGAGGCCACTCAGAAAAGTCAGCCACTGAGTATCTGTCACTTGGAAGGAATACCTGTGCTGCACAGCCACATCAGAGCTGCAGCAAATAAATCCCAGCCCTGAACTAAGGGATAAACCTTCACAAGCAACAGGTCCATCAGGTGCAAATTCTGCTGGTGACTTTTGCTAGGGCAAAGGAGGCAGCAGAAGATCATGTGAAATGAATAACTGTGCAAAAATATTCAGAAAAACATCTTTTCTTTTTCCTCATGGATAATGGATGAGCCCTGAGGTGGCAGTGACTTTCAGCAACTACCAACTCAGACCTGGACTTGGATCAGTAACCTAATTACAACACGGTTTTTGCTTCTTTCATGAGCTATTCAAGTATCTCAGCAGCAATGCAAAATGCTTTGTGTGTGTCTGATTACCCCAAACTGTCAGTGGTTAATTCCAAAAGCCTATCCTCACTTAAAAATGGTAGCTCTACCACAAATTAAACTGTTATAGCCATGAGTAAAATTAGGTTCCACATTTGTACTTTCTAAAATATCAAAGGCATGATTAGCAAAGTCTTTTGTTCAAGATCTCTGGAGTCCTTGAGGTAATGAAAACTGGGTCATGGAGTAGTTTCTCTTAAAGTTTAGAGCGGTGTTCAAGCAATACCTGCTTCTCTGACTCATGAAGTATTCAGTGTAGAGAATGGGAATACTGTACCAACACACATACACCAGCAGCAGTACCCCTGCCCTCACCAAAAACAGGAGGAAGGGGGTGGGGGAAAGAAAGGCACAGCAGATGATTTTGAACAGTTTCCTGTTACGGTCCCCTGAAAGAAATCCAACCGTACTTTCACCCTGCTTTCTGTTTTCTGAATTTCTCCTGACAGTTGGCTCTTTCGTTTGCCAGAACCACAACAAAGGCTGGCCTTGAGTTTCCACACAGGCCATTTTCTCCCTCTCCCGTCTCTGATCATCTCACAAAGGTATTATTGTTGCTGGCTCACTGGGGCTCAGTGCACCTGAGGCAGATCAAAGGCACTTTTTAATGCCCGCCTGACCACACAGGTCTCTCTCCCACTGCATTAAATTAAACTCGATGATTAATCTCTGTAGCCCTGAGGGTCCCTTGGTGCACACGGAGAAAGAAAATATATATTTCTATCAAAACACAAGTATAATATACTTTCATTTTATAGCCCTAATTAAAAAAAGGAACAGCTAATTTCAGCCAAATGCAGCTGCATACAGGTCTTATTAAAACACAAATACAACTGCTCTGTGTGCTTTACATTCACTTCATGCAGTCTATGCAGGTAATAGATAAAAGAACAGTAAACCAAAGCCCTTTCAAAGATTAAATCCAGAGAAGTTAAGAATTTGCCTATTGTCTGCTGGTTAGATTGTTATACTTCTCAGCAGATGAGTGAAGGAAGGCAGTTAAGGAAATGATTATAAAATGCTGAGTAGTTACATTTAAATAAAAAACTACTTCAATCTAGCCAAAAACTGCACAAGCATCTATTTCTGAGTTTGCAATCAAGTGATTAAGAGCCTTAAAAGGTTCTGCCTTGTCTATGGTGTGCAGTCTGTGTCTGACTTTGGGGTTGCTTTAATGAGAGAACGGAACATAAACTAACATCAACATGGGCTTTATCATGCCACTTTGGTTACATTAGCATATTTAATGGAGCCACATCTCTCATGGTTGTGGAGTATGCAAAGAAAAAGTGCTGTCCAAGTGTTTAAACTGATACGCCATGCTCTGGTTTGGGAAACAAGACAAACTATAGTTGTCAACTGAGTCTACGTTAGAACTTACCATTATACATGTATTAAAAATTAATAAATAACCACACACGTCCTCCTCCAGGGTTAGTTATACAAAAGGAGTAAGCTAGAGCCAGCTGGCCCCTTTCCAGCTGCTCAACATTGCCCCTAGACCTTTTGGGGAAACTGTCTCTGAGCTCCTCAGCTCATTTCAGCCTGGTATTATGCCTCTATTAACTCAACTCATTTTAACGATTTAAACTAACTCAGCTAAATGAAACAGGTTAGGAAGAGTTCACACAAACAGCTTCTTCTGAAAGGGCAGAAACCTCCATGAAGAAAACCCTGAAATAATAAAAGTAGTGGCAGGCTCAAAGGGTGACTTCTTTCCCCAGAGCTAGTATTTGCAGAGTGCCCCATCTGCCCTAAAAGACACCCAGGCAATTTTTTCAGAGACAGAGTAAGCTAAGAGTGGTGGAATTTGAGGTTTGAAACTCTTGTTTAGGAAGGAATCCAAATATATCCCAACTGGTCTACAGGATTTAAGTCTTTGTTAAATGGTCTGCTTCACAATACTGGGATTATTCACATCTTTAAATTTAATCATGTGCTAAGATGCTTTGCTGAAGGACAATCCATGTGACAAGATCACCATTTTATTCACACTCAAGATCACCATTTATTCATGCTGTTACTACAAAGACAAGTTAACTTACTGTTAAGCCTGATGTTTTATTATCAGCTTCCTTTATTTTTCTCTGCTGCAGCTCTTGCCATGAAGCATGTTAGTCCTCTCTAACACCTCTAGCACTGCCATTGCCATTTGCTCATTTTGGAAAAAAACAAGTTCTAATCAGTCTAAATTTAAGACCAAAATGAGTTTTAAATAAAAACTGTGGCAGAAAAGGGTACTTATCTAAATGGAATGCTTTCAGACTCATACATTTTAAAAAGGTATAAATTTCAAAAGCAGACACTAAATTTTAATTGCAATCTCAGAAAAAGCTTTTGTATTAATTCACTGAGAAAAATTAGGAAAGTGAAAATTGCTTACTGGGGATTTTCTTTCTTTTCAGTCATGATACATATCAGAATTCTATACATCACAGCAACTTTCAGAGGTAGAAGGATTTACATTGATTAAGTGAAGAGGTGGGGGAGAAGGGCTGTGACTGAAGACATGCACTCCTTCTCCAAAGACACTATTCTGTAACACATTAGTGACAGCCTTGTCACAGATAACTCAAGCTCAGAGCCTTTGGCTCAGATTTCAGGCTGCTCTTTAAGCCACTCTAGCATCGTGGTTTTTACTTTCCATGTAATTTTTCAGTATTGATTTCTACTACTATTAAAGTTCTTGCTTAATAGCAAATGCATGGTAATATATAATTAATATCCAAAGGTAAAGATAGAGTTACCAGAAAAAAATCAAGGCAAAGCAAAATGGTGAGAAGGACAAAGGTCATTTTTTTTCCCATTAAAAACTTTAGTTTGTATATTCTGTACAAATTTTGACTACACATCCAACCTACCCCCATGTGGCATGAAGATGTTCCACAGATCATAGCAACTCGGGATGTAATTGGCTGGTTCTCACAGGGCAGGTTATGTCCTTTCACATCTGCTCCAATTACTCCTATTAAAAGAAAATTAAAATTCTATTTTAAAGAGGAGGAAGCCAATGCTCACAAAAGAGCTTTTCTGCTCACAAATAACTGTCATATATCTCACACAACTGCCACGAGAAGTCTACTTAGTCACTACACAAAGTTATTTTAACAAATCAAATCACAATGTATTTTTATTCCAGACACAAGGTGATTTCTTCTATGTTCATGTTTATCATAATTCTTAGAAGTCTTCTGACTATAACCTGACCTTTATTCTCTTAGCAGAGTAACCACCACACAGAATCCAAAGCCTGCCCTGTTGTGAAAGGCAGTACACGTTTATTTGTTCACAGTTTATCATGCACACACTGTATGATGTGTTTTGTCAGGGGATGAGTTGAAGAAAGGGGGAACTTGGCAGGAGTCTGGAAGGCTGCCAGTTTTGTTGTCTTTGCTGCTGCTGTTCTGTCCATGTGAGACAGAACCATCTAAAGGAAGATTACTGCTTCCCTTAGAGGAACTGTGCTTGGCTCTGAGGAGCTTCTGCGTGCAGGACACAGCAGGACAGGACAGAGGACAAACTCAGCAAGCACTCAGCCTGCAGCAGAAACAAATACCCAGGAGATGCCAGAGAGGAGCCAGAAACTTGCTTACAAAACTGGGCAGACCTACAGCCAAGCTTCAGCACGCACCACATCCTTCTTAATTCACTTCAGGGGAGGCTAAAGTGGAAATCCTGTCCTCTCCTGGGCTGCATTCTTGCATCACGTTGTGCTGCGCCCAGCAGAAAGCAAAATGTTTGTCTTGTCTTTTCTTCAGTATTACTTTTCAAGTGGCACACTGGTCAGCAGACTGTGCATTGCATCTGCAATATGCAGTCTGGTGACTAGCTAAAAAAAAATAAATATCTTTCTCCTCAGTGTAGAAGGAACATGAAAGCGTCTGCAGGACACTGTGAAAGATGCCAAGTGTTACTGCTGGTTAGTATGCTACATTGCATTAACACCTTCTTGTTTAAGTCACCACCACCAGATTCTGTTATTACATCAGTCTAGTGAGGTTTGTCTTATCATGGTTGTCATGGTGCTACCATCATTGGAAGTTTACCTCAATAAGCAGAGAATTAAGGTATAAAATGGTACAGTCTTTAAAAATCTGCCCTTATGCCCCTTTACCCTATCTGGCTGGTAGCATAGCTGTCCTACACAGACTTCATTTGTAAGGAACAAAAGCAAGCTACAAGTAGGGCTCCTACCTCTTATGCTTCATTTTTCACTGCTCAAACACGGACATGCATGAGTTCATATTAAGAATTTTGGAGAGAGTTGTCTAAAAGGCAATTTCCTGTACTAGGCAACACTGTAATAGAATTTCTTAAAGGAGTTAGAAATATTGTTCACACTTCAGAGGGAACAAATCTATTAAACTGAATTGTCAGCATATGTCGCAAATATATTTTCATAAACAATACAAAATTGAAGAGCCTCATGTTTCAAAACGGATCTCAGCAGAGTAAGCACTAAACCACACATCAGAACATCAAAAGAAGTTTTACATCAACTACAAGAGTTATTTCTTTCCAGTATTTTCACATTTTAATTCACTGTTTCAAATAGCTCTTCTCTGTTTTCTTTTCTTGTGCCCTTTTATCATTACTAAAAGATTAATACGCTTCAGCACACTGCCATTCATAATATCTTTTAATCAGAACACAGTGTCACTTCTTAGTTCTGCAATCTGTCTTCTCCTTTTGCTTTTCTTTTTCCTTTAGGATTTTCAGCTCTGTGTTCTACACAGTGTAAGTTAAACCAAACTTGAAAAAGATTAAAGTTCCTGTTATTGACAGTTGTGGATGAAGCAGAGCTATTCAGTATTTGAGATGTAGCCACACTATTTATTCTTTTTACATATATTTGCACTCTTCAACTCTCCCTTTGCTCCTTCTGTCACTTTTGGTCCCCAAATTTTTTTTTTTTTTTAGTTGTCTTTTCTGCTAGTTTCCCCACCTATTACCCTTCCCAGATTCAAGAAGGATGAGTTCAACTTAAATTCTCCTCTCTTCCCAGACTCTGCTCAGTTACCGTGTGGCCAGCACGCAGGTTCTCCCTTTGTGGCACTGATCCTTCCCTCTGAAATGCTTCTCTCCCTCTCATACCAACCACCTATACATTTCTTTTCTCCTGGCAATGATTTCAGTAGTCTGCTAGTGTTTGTGGTGCCATCTGGGAAAACATATTCTGAGATAAACAGGTCTAGGATAAGCAGACTGTCTCTATCCACTGAAGCCTTACCCTGCTGGATGCCAGCAGCAATATATTTCTAATGTTAGAGTTTATGGAAGACTAAAGCAAATGAGCATCTCTCTGTTCTTTAAATTAATTTCATTGATTTTTGGCACATGAAATTTACTGGGCAAATTTTTTGTGCTCTGAATCCCATATCCATATAATGATGCATACTAAACAAGGACCCTCCACTGTCATTTTCACGTGTTCTGTGACAATCCACTTTTTCAGCAAGGTCATTACTTCAGGTCAGCTTATTATTACATCCTTTTTGAGAACACAGGACATGTTTATGCACATAAAAAAAGACATTTTTATCCACTTAGGATACTACTTGACACAGATCATTAAGCAAATCACAGTAGTAGGGACAGAACACATCTAGAACTATGACACTAAAAGTCAGTCTTCCTTTTCGCAGCTGGATCTATACCTAATTCTTTGGAGGTAGTAAGAAAAGAAATCTAAATGATTATTAAACCTCATTAGAAACAGTTATCAGAAGCAAAGTAATTGGATTTAAAATTTAAACTTTAAAAACTTCCAGATTATGAATTCTAGAATAACAAATGAGATTTAAAACACCACAAAATATCCAAAACCAAACTCAAACTTTAGGAGCTAGTCATATTTCATTTAGATCTAGAGATAAATGCTCTGATGAGCAATAGATTTCCATTGAACAGCACTGTTTCAATAACATTGAAACTTTCTGAGGTTAGAGTATTTTGTAAACTATCAAACTAACAAAACCAAACTCAATTTCCTGCTG